TTACATAATTTACGTAAATGGTTAAATGGCATGCTGACTGTCAGGTCCATCCCTAGTGGAGAATACTTCTTCTAAATATAGGTATAAATATTTAAACAAATATAGTACCTATCTTCTATTTGAAAAAAATCAGTTTTTGCTCGAGTTTTTATCTCGGTTTTTACGTATACTTTACTTGAAGTCGGTGAAATTCGCGAATATAATTAAAGCCCTCAATCTCGCCCTCAACCTTAACTTTGTGACCAAGTTTGTGACTATTGTGAAGAATGCCATTTTAGTCAAAACGACTTTTTTGGCCCTTTGGTGAAAAATACACCACTCAAACTCGTTTTTGGAAATGTTCTTCAACTTCAATTTTTATTAATGAAATGTCGAATCTCGTGTCGAATTCACTTGACTTCATTCGTATACTTCAATACGAGCTTGCATACGACCATAGCTCGGACCATAGATACCAGTGTGGTCACCTCGGTGGTCACGAATTTATAATTCTTTTTCTTTCACACGAAATAGTATAATGTTCGTACCCATATCAGGTAAAAATGTTTATAATGAACATTATAGCAATGTAGGTGATAATTACTGATTAGATCTCGGATTAGATAATTAACCAGTGAAAATGAAGGACAAACTTTCCTCAATATTCTTATTTGAATGTGAGTAATTTTTCATGATTCATTTAAGCTTATCTGACAGTTAATTTCTATGGGAACAACCTCGGGAACAACTATTCACATTGTAGATTATCTGATTATCTATTAAACAAATTTAACTGTAACAAAATAAAACCCGCGATAAAACCGATATTTGCGAGGGGTAAACCGCTGGAGTAATTTGGTGAACACGGTTTGAGTAATACTTGAGTAATACCGAGTAATAGTTGAGTAATACCCTGAGTAATACAGACTAATAGTTGAGTAATTCCGAGTAATAGTTGAGTAATACTGAGTAATAGTGGGTAATACTTTGTGGTAGGTAATACAACATTATGTGTGAGTAATGGACTAATGGTGTACACGTTTTAAACCAGCGGTTTACCTTTCGGATAACTGTAAATGTATTATGTATAGTGGGTTGGGTTGGTAGAGCAGCCTTGGCTGAAACCCCGCCCACTCAAAAAAAATTAAGGTTGTGGATGACTGGAACAGGAAGGTAATAAAAGGTACAGGAAAAAACGAGGGAAAAAAATATGGTTTCAAGAACAATAAACCCGTTTAAAAAAATATTGGTTGTTAAATAGAAAAAAGATGTTCATTTCAGAGGTCACATACTTACTGGCTGTCTAAAAAGTGTGTAAATAACGTAGATCCACCAAAAATGGCAAACATATATCTCATTATTTCTTACATTCTAAATTGATAAGTATATCAATTTGTCGAAACTTTACATTTCAACCGATTTTGCCCCCCAAAGAACAGTAACTAGACATGATTCCTACACAAACAGGAAGTCCTTTCATTAACTGAGCAAGAAGATAATTATAAAACTTAAGTACACTGTTTTTAAGAATAATGAGACATTAAGGCAAGTTTCAGGAAGTTTAATCAGCGTAGGTATTTCTCACATATAAAGTCTGAAAAAACTGGTGGGTGGAAAATAATCACCCCCAAAAATGACTGACTGACAGAATGTTACTTACGTAGACACAACAAGACATGATGCACATTGAAAGTGAAGAAGAAGAGAGTAGATTTAAATCTAGTTGTACACTTAAATTAGTGAGATTGGACGTCATTAAGGGAATTAAGTAGTTCTGAAGGTCTTAAGGTCGTTGCTTACTGTACTAACAGTAAGTCATGACCTTTTGACTTTAATGAGTAAAGTGGATAATTGAAGTTGAAGATCTAATTTTAAAACAGTGATAATAAAACATTAAATTAATATTATTAGACATACTGTGATTTACATCGTCAATAACATTTTCAGCGATCACTTACTTGGTATCCCGCTGGCCGTTTGTCCCATATTAGGTTATCAGTGCAAATTTGCTGAACATCGGTAGATATTGGTTAAACAGTTAGTAAAACGTTAAACATTTTAAAAACAAACGCCGTAAGTTAATATTAAAAACGTTTAAGAATAACACAACTGTGAAACATAGATTTAAAAACAAACACATTTTTATTCATTATTTTGGTAATTAAAAATCGTAACATACTTGAAGTTACACCTCGTGGTGACTTTTAATTTTTTATTTGCTAACTTCAGCACGTAGCAATAAGATATACAGGGTAATGTTAGTTAGTCTAAATCTTCCAAGAGATGTCGTTAACAGCTTGAATTTTTAAAGACCTATAAATTTGATGTTGAAAAGTGTGAAATTAGGAGACATATCACATCTTAATTTCCAAGCGGTAAAATGCGTTTGCAGCCTGCGACCAGCCATCAAAATAACATGGAAAAAGAACATTTTTATCTACGAAAATGCTGCACTGAAGACTGAACAGCAAAAATAAGAATTAACAATAAATATGATGCCATTGTCGAATAAACAAGGATGATACGATAGTTTCGACTGTTAACGAACATACATCTGTAAATTCATATCTAGGGAACAAAATTTCAGTTGGATATGCAACACATCCTACTGAAACACATACAGTAAAAATGCAGTCTATGGTTAGCCTATGGTGGTTAATTATTATCACACTTTGTATATGTATATACAGGGTGTATCAACTTACCCTTCAGATAATAATTCCTTTACCATAAAAAAAACGAACGAAAGAACCGTAGCAGCTAAATTGTGCGCGCTTATCGTCGCCATATTTCAAAATATTTCTGTTGAAGGCGCACTCGGAGCTCGGCATAACCGACCTCTCTGTCTGTCTTCTTTTTAACGGCGGTTGAGAAAGCATCATGTGTACTTTACGTTTGTTTTCTTATGTTATTAATGCATCTACCAATTTCTTTATGTGCGCTTTGTATGCAACATTCTATATTCTCAGAGATGAGACTCTGCTAACACAAAAACCTTTCGGTTTAGAATCTTTATGCGATATGAGTTGCGATTCATTAATTTTCACATATTTTGTTGTTAACGATGAATTTGTTCTCCAAGACCATGGAATTTTCTATGTTGCATTTAACAAACGGATTTTATTGCAACAAGGATGGATCACATCCTGTGCACTTCACCCTTTTTCCTATCTACTCATCCAAAACTTGTTTTTAACCTTGATGACTACAACCAGCTTTGTGTATGTGCATTTACTGTTTCCTTTAATCATTGCTTAAACTTGATAATTTTATATTGTACTTTTTTTGGATTTATTAATCAAAGGTCAAGATTGTTGAAACTTGCACTTGGCATTGAACCAATTATTTAATACTAATATTGTGCCACGGCATGGCAATACAGTGGGATATTTTGCCTGTAGTAATGAAAGAGCTTTTATCTTTCTGAAGCAAAAAGTCAAAACCGCATTAGTAGATAAGTACTTTAGTCATTGACTTTAATCCGTAGGTTGCAATGAAAGATCGAAAAATAAGGTACGCGTAGGATAAGATCTGAGAATAATAGTATCTTATATGAATATTACCTATAGGTAATATAAATAATATAGATAGATTAAGTTTTTTGATTGAATAAACTGTATAGGTATATAGTAGATTTCTATTAATTGGATAACTATTTCCGAAGAGTTGGCCAAATCATGAAAATCCTGCCTACCCCCTCCGCCCCAAATTATCTCCTCGGGACGTCCCTGAACCAGATCTTATAACACTTTAACAGAGGCAGAGTTGTCTCCGCTTCCAAGAGTCAAAGTGCCAAAATGTCTTCGTACACAGCCGTTCCTGGGTCAAATTGTTTGTAAGCCAAATATTTGCCCCCTGTCGTGATGGCTGTGTCGAGTTGGTAGCGCAAAGATTGCGACGACGAAGTATCCGAATTCGATTTTCTTTCCCCAATTGTTTCTATTGGTATATTCTTTCCTTAAAAAAGTCATAACTACACAAAACAGTTTAACTGGTTTTTCGTACTGTAACTTAATTTACAACTGTAATATACAGGGTGTTAGTAAATTCGATGTAGATATTTTGAGGTTTGACTGAGGGTGACAAATACAAGCATTTTGACATAAGGAATCCGTGTCCGGAAACGCAAGCATTCGGCACTACGCGTCCTTAAAGTTGCGCGCTTTTGCGCCTGAGATTTAACGCCCCTGGATTTTTTCGTATGGAGTCACATGAAAAACAAGGTGTACGAAACAATCTGCCCGCACCCTCCGGACCATTCAAGGAGTTTTCGAAAAAATGAGACAGTCCATCGCTCGTCGCTGCACGGCGTGCATTCATGTGGGGGGAAGAAATTTTGAGCAATTCTTGTAACGCCTGCTATTAAATGCTTCTTTTGTTTCGTTTCTTTGAAAAAATGTCATTGCTGATCATTTTGAATTTTACTTCGCCAAGTGTAAGCACTTGGTGACCGACAGGCCGGTGCGGTGCACGCTGAGTGGGCTACCCAGCACGCGCAAAAGCGCGCAACTTTAAGGACGCGTAGCGCCGAATGCTTTCGTTTCCGGACACGGGTTACTTATGTCAAAATGCTTGAATTTGCACCCTCAATCATACCTCAAAATATCTACATCGAATTTACTAACACGCTGTATATTAACGGAAAATTGTCGCACATGATCCATTATTACATGATGTTCTTTATCAAAAATTTTCCGTATCAATAGCAATCTCCAGTCCAGTACGAAAAACGGTCGGGCAGATGAAGAAAATGTCCACAAAAACTAGGGTCCTGGTTTGGAAGTAGCGCTAAAAACAATGTCTACGACCACCAAGCATATCTGAAAATTTTGAAAAGGGTTTCAATTCGACCCACGTGTAGGTACCTGTATCAAAGGTTGTGGGTTCCTTTGATACTAGAAACATACTGGTTTGGAGTTCATTCAATCAATCAATCAATGTACCTCTTGAAAGGTTTCCTTGTAAAATGTGACGGAAACCTATCAAAAACCATAGTTGTAGTGTAGCCTCATTCCTACTCTGCTCTATTTAAATGCCAATAAATAAACTCATGACTACTAACATTGAAAAAGGGCGGATTGAAGGGTCTCCGCTCTCTGCTTGGCCGTGGCGAACTGTTTAATTGAAACTATCCATTGCAGTTGCACGATTCAGAAATTAAAATTGAAATCTACCGCCATCGGTGCGACAATCAATAAAGTACTCGCCATTCAAGGGAATGCGTCAGCTCACTAACAGTGCATTGAACAGCGTCGGCGTCGCACAAACGCGCGTGTTATACACGATGCTGCGGTGACAAATAACACATGGCTTTTTAAATTTTATTACCTACAGCAATGCATAACAGTGAAAATGGTGCTTCTGCTGTACGGCATCGATCTCCAGAGGTACAATCTCCAGAAAACAAGGAACATTTCTTGGTCGCGGAAAAGAATGAAGATCTTCTGCAATGGAAGGATATGCCTAAGCACCTACAGTTCAATCCCTACATATTTACGGGATATCGGCCTCTTTTGTCCGTCTGGGGATGTTTAAACAGCCTATTTTATCTACATAACGAAACTATCAATATTTTTACTCACGGTAAGGAGATTTTTGCACTGCTATAAGTGTCCTACTTTAGTAGATGTACCCCAGTTTCGCCAATTTTTTCTTGCTTCCCTTAGTTGTTTTATTGCACGTTGTATAGAGAAAGGAACATCGGCAAATTGAAGTAAAAATGATACATTCACTAGAAAGGATAAATTATACAATCTTATCGAGGGTCGAAGCACCTCTAGTAAAAAAAATCCTACTCAAGACAACTGCAACATTGTTGTTGTACTTGTACCTACTTAATGTTATAGTATCGTTGATATTTTGCCATTTATACAAACGTATACAACGCCAGTTACTATAATTTCAACTATTAATTTAACTTTTAATATAGATCACTACAATTTGCTATAGGTACTATAATAAAATAGTAATTTCCAATTAGAATAATAAAAATCATTACCGATGGCCTACATTCTACAATGATACAGTACGTGTGTAAGTGCTATATATTTTATAGAACAAAATTATTATTTGTCCGTGTATCGATTGCATTAATCGCATTAGGAACTTGACACCTAATTACCATGGAATTACCTACATTTAAGTACTAATTTATTCAAGAGTGGTCTAGTGGGCATAGATTAAATAGATCGAGGTAGGTACCTGCTGGATATTTCTGCTTTGCATGCATAGCAGGTCTAGCATTGAAAATTTTATTTTTCGCGTGTAAATGTTCAAATAGAAACCATCAAAGTGTGCGTGTTTTACGAATATTGTTCGAAAAGCTTGATATAATCTTATTAAAACGATATAATTAATATTTTAATGCACGTCTACGCACAATTGGACCTAAAGATTTTACGTGCATAATTTTCATGCAGATTAGTAAGAGAAAACACCAACAAACTCAAGGAAAAGGGAGCATTAAAGACCAAGGAAAACTATACAATGGGCGGTAGATAGTATTCCATTTTATGTAACTAAAGTAAATAAAAATTTAGGGTTTTATGCCCACACGGTTTGAATAGAACAAAATTATTTTGTAAGGGCATCTAATTTCAACGGAAGATTTTATTGGAATCAGAATAATTGGCGTCACAAATCTCATTCAGCAACCAATTCCGCAGTAGTTGTTCAAATAGTCGTTCCCCGTATGCACTGCTACTAGTTGACTATCAATTTGAAAACAAATACAAATGGTAGTTTGGCACCAGTAACGAGTGCACATAAAATTTGAATCAATTGTCATTAGTTGCACCTGAGATATTATCAAAAATTTTAACTAAAGCCACCCTCAAGGGTTGTACCATTGTGTACAAGGTGGTGACTTGCGTATCGCAACATGGGGATTTCAATGTATAATTCATAATATGCGATTATTGTTTTGTTATTATTATTTTTCAGCAAACATGTACCTATTAAGGTGTTTTGTAGAATAAAATTTTTTATGCCATTCAACCGTATATTAGTTTTCAATTTTAAAAATTTTTAAAAACGGAAAATTGGAAAAATACAAACTGCTTCTTTTTCAATAATCTGTGATGCCATGGAATTTTATAAAACAAAAAGTAGACTCTTTTGTTATTTTTGACATCACATTTAAATTGCTTGTAATAGTAACTTCGTTTATAAAATTTATTACATAAATTAAAAATGTATTCATTATCCGAGAAAAATGAAATGGTTTTACGCGAGAAATAGTGCTCGTCAAGTTACCGCTTTGTTTGGTGTAAAATATCCAGAGGCCAATTCCAAGTCTATTACTACTATTACCTACGCGCGTATTCCAAAACTGGAAACTAAAGGTACATTGCTTAATAACTGTAATAATGTAACGACGCTGTTCAGAATAACAACGAATATGAAGCAAATGATACCACCTTCAACATTTTAGCTTCAATAACTGAAAATCCAAATTCAAATTTGCGGTAGATCGCATCCAACATAGGTCTCTACATAGCCGTGTTTTCAGAATTTTACAAAAGAATAAATATCTGTCATACAAATTTCAATGGCACCAAGGACTACGTAAAGGCGATTGTGACAGACGAGTAGCGGTAGCTTTCAGTTTCGAAATTATATGGAAAGGTGTAATGATGAAGAATGTCACAAGATCCAATTATCAATTAGCAGCAGTTCGAAATGGATTGTATGACTAGAAACCCGTTTTTAAATTTGGTCTTTCTTTATGTTTAATTCGCTGTTCTAAATAATATAAATACTTTTTGATAGAATTTGATTTGATTTATAGCAAACATTCCATGACACGACGGATATTGGCGTAGTTTTTGTATTATAAAATTCCATGGCATCACTTCACAGATTATTGCAAAAGATGCGAAAAAAATTGAAAACTAATACCGTTGAATGACGCTACAAAAAATCTTAATACATTTTTGCTCTAAAATAATTTGGGGAGCCAATAATCGCATTATTATGAATTTTACATTGAAATACCTATGATGCGTTACGCCAAGTACACCGTAGATATTTCTGTCGGACATTTATTAAACATCCTGTATACGATTGTAGCAAATACTAAAAGATCAGTAGGTACATTTAAAAACTATCTGGAAAAAAATTCTACTGGATATGAAAATGCTATTAGTAGTCCATGCCCATTTTAAGGTTAAATAAGCCCGGGGAAGGCAGGCTTGTCTCACAAAATGTGATGTCAATTCAAGAAATGTGCCCATCTGCTCGTCTGCTCGTCAGTTGCATTGCGCTTTCTTTTGAAAACTCATGTTTCTGTTAAAGTTAAAAAAATGCTGACCTGTTTCTCGCGAGTTTAAATGTTGCAAAATGAACTTATCTATGTCAGATGCGGTTCAATTTTGATTTTTTTGATGTTACATACTTGATACTGACCTTTTTGTTAGTAAAAACAGGCGTTTTAGTTCTAAAATATTTGGCTATTCCCATATTAGCTCTACTACAGAAAATTGTTCTATTTAAAACGCAGTACATTTTAAATTGTCTTTTAATTTTTCAATTGATTTATCCAAAAATATACCTACAGTTCAATATATTTAAAAATACAAAAAATAATAATTTTACGAGTTACAGGTATACCTATTAAACTAAATAATATTCGCTTATTCTCTATCTATTTCGACCTCTCTTCACTTTTTTTGCTATAGAAACTATAACCGAAAAATATGAAATAATAAAAATAGATACAGGTGGTTTAGGGGAGGTTCCGCATATCGGAACGAGATTACCGCTACATATTAACCAAAACTACTTCTATAACGGGTGACCAAAAATGAGTGGCGATCGAGTCGCCTTTCGACGATATCCCATGTACCTAAACAAAAATTCAAAAGGTGACTCGACAGCAACAAATTTTTGATCTTTGTTCTTCGCCGAAATCTTTTTTGTAACCATCCAATTCTCACGATTTCAACTTTTTAGTTTCACAGGTCAAAATCTATTAGAAACTGCTTTTCCCCGATTGATCTTGTAACGGCTTAGTTACATTTACATGACCTAGAAAGCCCTCTTTTAAAAGTAATTTATTCTGGTAAAAATTTTACTGTAACAATTAATTTTTGTAATGAAATACATAATTATTACGACGGCTAGCTCAGTAATGAATAAATGATCGATTGCGAAAGGTTGGTTCTTTATCTCTTTGATGATATTAATGAACTTAAAAAATCACTTCACAATTATTTAATGAGGCAATCGTAACAATATCTTTGGTTTGGGTTCACTTATCGTTCATATAAAATATATAACTTGGTTGGCGGGATAAATTCTCGTAAATCGATCTCTTCAGGAACATTAAACTGACATTAAGTGTAATTTTCTTATACAAAATCCTCAAAAAAATTAAACTCTTGTCATTTAAAATTCAATTAATTTACATTTATCAATGCGTTGAAATATTCTCCAACAGAAAACTGATTTTCTCCTTTGGACGGTTAGCAAGAATTTGAAACATTGGATGGTGGAACGACTGTTTGGTTACTCGTGGTAGGTGAATCTCGAAAGATGGTTGACGAATTTGAAATTCCCAGAACCATAATGTTCAACAGTATGCAAATGAGCAAAATTACCCTAATAACGAGTTTTTAGCACAAATGAATTGTCTAACATTTTAACCGGTTGCCGTTTTATTTATAATTTTATTATACGAGCAGATAAAATGATTGTGTTTCGTTACATAATTTATTAATCATAATTTTACTATTACTTTGCATAAACAAATCAGATGCACAATTTTGATTAATAAACTGTTTTTTTAACGTAACTTCCCACTCCCAGAATACCGCAACGAAATGTTTGCACCTCAGACTCCAACGCTTTCGTGGTAAAAATTATTTGAATACGAGCACCTTAATCTGATTGTACAATGATTCGCAAATATTCACGTACATATTTCATATTACAACTTAAGACCTTCTGCAGAGACACCTCTTAAAAGCATTATGCGGGTCACTGTAATTGAGCGCAAGCCTGCTGAGGGCCTAGAACAAAGAGGATAATAAATAAATAATAAATAAATGAATTAAAAAAGTACCTTATTAGCACGGTTGAAAATTATACAGGGTGGTGCACGGTAAGTAGGAACATAGGGATTTAACATGGGAAATTAGTTTTATGCAAAATCCTGTTCTCCTGTACAACTGTAGAGTTTAAAGTTGTTCAGAATTAAAAGATGCATACAAACCTGTTTTTACATGTTTTATTAAGCTTTTCGAATACTCGCAAATTAGAGGATCATTCTTTCCCAAAAGTTCCTCAAGGATATGGAGGGTTCACTTTGCAAAGATGCATAGATACTAATAAAAACAACAGAGCGGATATTATCAGATGGATCATTGTGTCATTTAAAAATTTGTTGATGCCTTGAAATGTGACATTGGGAAGTAAGAGATTTTATTTTGTTTTATAACACGAGCGCGAACTATTATTTTATCACTGATATTTCTCTTCGGCAACGCTTTTACAACTAACTTAGGCACAATTCAATTGGGTGCAAGCTTATTGGGGCCCAGAACAAGAGAGAAGGATAATAAATAAATAATGCAATTTATTTTTATTTTTTAGGTATACCAATTGTTTACATTTTATTAACAATTCCCGATATGAGACGATGGACACAACCAGATTTGCGCTTCCTAACTTGGTGTCACGTTGTCGGAAGTATAAGTCCTTGGGTGGGAAGTTTTGTATACCATCTATTTATGAACTTGGAACGAGGAGAAAAGATTTACTACAGACTACTTCAATTGGATATGTTGGGCATTTGGATATGTCAAAGTTTTGGTAAGTTAACTCAGTGACGATTAATATAAAAGTATAGGTATCTATGTCACAACTATTGGATCTATACGTGGCTATTCAGTGCATATGGTCCAGTGTTGTTTTCTGCCTCACGTGAGACGGTTTTGTAACTATCACGATATAAAAAAACTACAGTTCTAAATACAAGGAAGGAACTAACAATAAATTTATAACGGTCTTAAAATGTATCAATTTATTACAGTATTTCTCACTTACAATTTATAACACAACACAAGCGCATCGAAGTTGGAACTAACTCGAAAGACAATTCCATTTGTTTATATGTATAGCAAACAACATTCTTTCTAGAATGTTCTTGAGTGTTCAATGACGCTTCAGAATGTTCTCGAACAAACACGTAATATTTCTCGGAAGATTACGTCACATCCGCTTTCGTTCTTTATCGCCGATAACTAATCTTTCATGTCTATCGAGATTTCTGGAATATTTGCTACGCTAGCAAAGAGTACCTACCTCATCCTTTCCATTGGGCCCTCAGCAACAAAATATTTAGAAATGGACCTTGTTAATCATTATAATAACTGCAAGTGTTACCCATCTTGTCTTTCTGAGAACGCCACAGTAAACAAGTAAATTAGGAAATTTAAAATGATTGCAGTAGTTCCTCTTGAACTGCAAGTTTTCCGCTTACTGATAAGTCATACTACACCTATAAGGATTCACGTACCTAACACGATACCTTTTAAGTATTTTCATAAGTATATAATCATTGATTAATGGGGTATTAGTCAATGGTATAATCTACTTTTTTTAGTAGTTGTAACTATAATAATATGATCGCAATTTTAGTTCAAGGATAACAATGACACATTTTTTTTCTTTTAGGAGCAATGCCAATGGTTATGGCCACAACATACTGTCTTCCGCGATTATTGAGATGGTTCAGTGTATCATCATACTGCCTTTTTAGCCTGTGGGGCTTATATAAAGTAAGTCGATCCGTTACTGAAAATGTCCTGCCTACCCCTTTAATAGTAGGTACATACCTACACTTATTGATTACATTATCGTCCTCACCTTCATCAATTAAATTTCCGGAAATGTCAGTGGTTGATACTATAAATATCGTATCGACTTACGACCTACGTATACTCTCGCAAAACAATTATATGACGGACCTTCTTAAGGGTGTATTCCACTTAAATTTTAATTCTATTTGACGTATGATGGGTTGCATAATACTTACTTGTAATGAAATGGTAACGAATTAACAAAGATTGAAGAATTTACCTGCCCAACCATTGTATAAAGTAAACAAGTAATTACGTTAATTTACCCAGGTCATTAGTCATTGTGAGGAATATGCATATACCGGGTGGTGCCTAGCGCGACGCAGCATAGGGATTTCAATGGTAAGTTCTTTATAGTCAGTTACTAGCTCCCCTAATTATTTTAGAGCAAAAGTCTAACTAAGTTTTTTTAGAGAAAAAAATACTGAATCTGTTCATGCGATTACTCATAATTTTCCGTTTTTCAAAACCGTAGAAATCGACAAAATAAAAAGGTTCTTTTCACAATAAATCAAATATGCCTTGGAATTACCTAAAAAAACAGCTATCACGTTTCATTATTTTCCTTTGGCGTATATTAAATTTATAGGTACTTGTTTATAAATTAGTTAAAGAACTGCAAGTGCAATAACGTTCAAAATGACCGTCAAAACCATCAGGAAAACGACAATACATTTTGGCTGCAGTAGCGGAAAATCCGAATATAAGTTTAGGAACAAATCTGCTTCAAATCAGTTTTTTTTCTTCGATTATGTAGGTACTCTGATTCTCTCTGATAAACAAATAGTATCTGATGCAGATGCAGCATACATTCTCTAAAAAAACATTACCCAATTGCCACTTTTTCTTGCATCGGATAGTTGTAATAACAGAATTAAATATGAAAATCGTTCGACGTCAAACAACCATAACTTAGATGCGATGCGCTTGTAGTTTGTTAAAAGATTCCAAAGCATTACTGATTTATAAAAATGTAATTTTTTATTTTGTCGATTTCTACGGTTTTGAAAAATGGAAAATTATAACTAAAAGTATGAACAGATGCAGTATTTTTTTCTCTAAAAAAACTTATTTAGACTTTTGCTCTAAAATAATTAGGGGAGCTAGTAATTGACATAAAGAAATGACCATTGAAATCCCTATGCTGCGTTGCACTAGGCACCACCCTGTATAATTAAACATCGATTAGAAAACGCAAATCATTGTCACAACGGCTAATCTTCAATAATTTCACTTTTCCCAGTTTTTAATAAGTATATATTTTTTTTAACCCAGTAATTACTCCATGAATTGTATTGACCCTATCTGGAAAATAACGCATGTAAGCGAATAAGTACCTATAAATTAGATATCTTTAAAAAAATGTACATTTTTTTAGTAATATTCTAGATGTGTTACAAAAAATCTCTTGTATCACAGTGAAATTTTAGGGATGTTACAACATTTCGTCTAATTCGGGAACAACACAAAATAAATGAGCACTAACGCTTTTTACGCAAATTATATCTCTTTCCGAAGGATGCTACAGGGAAATAATCTCAAATTTGTATCACACTAAAATTTTAGGGGTGTTTCAAAATTTCGTCTAATTCGGGAACAACACAAAATAAATGAGAACTAACGCTTTTTACGCAAATTATATCTCTTTCCGAAGGATGCTATATGGGAAGAATCAAAATTTTTTCACACTAAAATTTTAGGGGTGTTACAAAAAACGTCAGAAATGACGCAAACTTTTAATTCACCCAAAAATAAATCACATTTTCCGTGTGAACTCTATTACCCAGTATATTATGGAATTATAATACGTTCTACTGAATCCGGTTTCTTTTTCTAAATTAGACCCGATAAACGCAACAATGCCGCTAATGAAGTCAGGCCTGCCGTATGATGTGTTGCCTACTGTACATTTATAAATGGTGAATGACTTCACTAAACGCTACAAGTTTTCGTAAAAAATTTCGAATGAATATTTCGTCTAAAATTTTTAGTGTGAAAGGTTGGTCGATGGCTCTATGGTTTGCTAATGTTTTTTCTGAACGCCATTTTTCCTATAAAAGTTCACTTTTTATTGGCAGTGCTCTAAAAAATTGTTTTTTTCTTAGATATTAAAATTTTGTTCTGTAGCATACTTTTTAAATGTATAATTTACACAAAAAAATTAGTCTTTCATCTCATGTTTTACAGAATTGAGACGAAATATAAATCGCACTATTTTCGCATAAATGTTGCACTACTGGATTACACCCTTAAGTAGGTATTGCACTTTTTTTAGTATTTTATAGACAGTCTATTTAGTAGGTTTTTGTCTGTAGCCTTTTACTGCTATCAAAGAGTATACCTATAACGAACGTTATACTCTTGGTGCTATGGAGCATTAAATTTCAATTTCAATTTTAGACACATTTTGCTATGGTATTTTAAAATATTTGTGGTAAACGCAATGCTAATATGCGCTTTTATAGGTGGGTAACTTTTTCGGGAAATTTGTGTAGAATTGAAATATTACATTAATCACGTGAGGCTAGGAGGCGGTTGGGGGGGCTTGAAAAAAACACGAAATATCACAAGGGGGAGACGGGGTACGGTATGATAATCACGTGTATTTATGATTTCGCTAAAACGCGAAACCTGCGAACCTTCAGGTCTGTCTGGACATTTTTATGACTGTCCTTAATTTTCCATAATTAAATCAGAATGTAGGTCTTTATCTGTACTTACAGACGCCAAAATGTATAGTAAAAACAAGTGTAATATCTATAGGTATTCGTATTCAGGGTGGCTCCTTCAGAATTCTTAAAATAAAGATGTGATAGTAACACCACCGGATGGACGGACAGGCGAACTGCCTACAATAGTTCTTTTTTTATTTGTTAAAAATGCACAACTGTAACCATTGTGTTAATCCTACTAGTCATAAATTGGACAAACATTGCAAAAGAATATCTAATTTGAAATATTTCTAGGCAATGATCGCCATATCACCATGGGAAAGACGTTTATGTTTTCTGCTTCCGTTTTGCATGCGAATCGTACTGTGCATGTTCCGCTTTTACAATTTTGGCGGAGGAGATCCGGCAGCGCGCACCCATCTCGTTTTACAGGTTTGTATAGATGACAATACTAAACTGAAACTATAACCATTTTTTTCCATGAAGGATCTAATTTCCCTCGTAGGAGCAGCAATCGGTGCAATGCATATTCCCGAAAGATGGTTCCCAGGTTGTGTGGATATGTATTTGAACTCTCATAATATTATGCACATTCTTGTCGTCACCGCGGTATATTCCATGCATGTGGCAACAATGAGAGATCTGGCATGGATGGACCAAGTAAAATGCAAGACTATGCTTTGATTTAGTTACTCTAGTTTTTAATCCGAAAACGTTTGCCTAATCTTGTTGAATAATTGACTCTCGTATTTTTAGACTTCCATTATAACAGTAGAAGTTTAGGAAATTAAATGCGATATTACCTAACAATCTCTTCCACAAATTACGCACACACGTACATGCTATAAATATAGTCACTCAATTTTTAGCGCGGGAAGAGAAATTTTACGTGATTTTTGTGCTCCATATACTCACTATTTCAAAACAGTTAGGAGTGTGTAAACACAATACTGTTAATTAAAAAAAAATCCTCTCCGCCTATTTGAATATATGGAACACAAACAAAATTTATATTTAGTGTATAATAATAGTGTAGTACAAATTAGCCATATCTAGAAGTATAATTTGAGTGTGATTTGTTTTGAATTTCTCCTCAATTATATAATAGTCAATACTTTATAAATAGTCGATACCATATACAGATAGGACTAATGAGTTGGTCACTCATTTTTGGTAGGTTCAGCAAGCGGGAATAGTTAATTATTATATGTGCGGAATCTACATGTTATGGTACTGTCAAAATGCCATAAGTAACAAGTCAATAATGAAGTATGTAGGAGGAGTACGAATTACCTCCAGGTTTAAGATTCCAAAGGTTTGCTGAATATGCCTAGCCTAGGCCTGCGGTGATAGACTTACCTACACTTGTAGATAAATTTTATTGTGATAATACAGGTGCAGAATTGCATAGTAATAAATTCTGACCAACTCTACAATATCTTAAAAATTTGAAGCAATATGCATGTATAATACAATTGATATGCTTTCTTTTGTAGTGTGAATTTCAGCCATTTTTAATCTTCCAGTAAAATATACAATACATACTAGATTTTCCTAGGCGGATTGAATAGGATTGCAAGAAATTGAACGATTGGCCTTAAAGCTTTTTGATCATATTGAAAATAAGACTACCTATAGTCAAGCTTTGCTCGATAATGCAATGTTTTATTATCATCAAGATTCAGCAAATATAAATGGTATAGGTAGTGCCAAAATCATCTATTCGTGCAGATAATTGTTGGATTATCTTAATTGTAAGACGTATATGGCACATCATTTAAATGTATTAATTAACTGCATTATGTCTCCTAACCTTCCACCTGTGTACCTAAGTACTGGAAATGTGGTAGAGTTACAATTGTCGCCAAAGAGGTGTTCGTATTTGTAATGAACAATTGGAAAAGGAAGCAGGACAATTTTGCCCAAAGATATACAATAAAGCCAATTTATTCAACACCAAAAACTCTTCCAATAACGATTTACATGCGACGGGTTAATATAGGTAATAAGGATAATGAACAGACGAAATGACTGCATTGCAATCCTACACAGAATACACCTACTATTTTGTTAATGCACTAAATGAGTATGTTGTGTTATAACTTCTTCTAAACTGTTTATGAATTTGTGTGTATCACGTAATTAGGTACCTAGTATAAGTTTTGCAAAACTACTCTATTTTTTGACTGATTGGTGTGTAGTGAAACATTTTACAAATAGTTAAGATTTCCAATGAATACTTGCATTGCAGTTGTTACATTTAGACGGTTCTAGTCTAGAAATACGTATTTACATAAAAGCTTCATTAAATTATTCAATAAACGAGGTATTATTATCGTTTTATTTAAATTTTGTTCACAATCCCATATCACAGTAGGTAGTAGATTAACACGTCACGTGCACTATAATTTATTCCCTCAAAATCCACGAACCGAAACTAATTTGTGCTGCTTTTGCGTTGATTTGGCCTTCAATATTAACGGAGAAATAGAATTTTTAATCGGAAGTTAGGTATATATCACCATTACTTATAGAGGTTGATTTTACATTGCACTCGTTTTATACTGATTTGCGCACCAAATTAAACGTTCTGTGGACTGTCTGTCAAAATTCATAATAATACTTACGGATTAGAATCTGAAAATAAAGCTTCATACCGAAAATGAATGATCTGCTAAAAGCATATACTGTGCGTTTCTCGATGTGTCCTTTATTTTAGGTACCTACTTATCATTTCTGCGCCAAATGCTCTTAATAGAGAATTGCTCCTAGCATTTTCATACAAGGCTGACATGTACATTTGAATTAATTTTGCTATACAGTTTAATATTAATGTGTTGGCTGGTTTTTTTCTTGGTCGGTTCTTTTTTTCCCACCCTATTTTTACTCGGTGACCACCATTTTCAAAATTTAGTCTTGCAATTTCCAGCAGAAACTTCCGTTTTTAAAGCATGTTTCGTTTTACATCTGTATCTCATCCTTACTCAGGTTAGTAGCACACATCTTGTAGCGACCTTTTAAAACACAACGTACGAAGAGTCGTTTTTATATTCCCGGACTAGACAAAGAACTAGAGCAACAACAACAATTTCAATTTATGTTTCTAAATAGTTCCCCTGCTTTTGAATACAGGTATAACACCGTGTCATTAACATCTTTAATCCAGTATAAAAATATTCGTTTGGTTTTTCCTCAAAATGATCCTCAACAGTTGCTATAAGTTCGTCATTGTCCCTAAATTGTGTCCCCTTAGTGTTTTTTGAGATTCGGGAACAAAAAATAGTCACTGGGTACTAGATATGAACTGTTCAATTTCTTCGAAACCACAGTCAACTACGGCAGCTTTTGAAAGTCTGGTTGTGCACTGGTGGATTGCGTGGAGCAACAAGACACCTTGCGTCAGTTTTGTGCGTCTCTTCACTTTAATAGCATTTCTAAGGCGATGCATTAGGTTTGCCTCCCGTTACCGTACTACCCTATTATTCATATAATCAATCAACAAAACTGCCGTATTTAAAAATGGTATTGCTTTATGAATGTAATACGACTTTGTTTTTAGCGCATTTTACAAAAGGAAAGTGAACGCTAATGTCCACACTTTGTCCATCTGTACCACTACTAGTCCTCCAGTTAAAAAATTAAATAAATAATTATAATTAATCTTGCAAATAAAGACGTTATAGAGGGCAACTCTCCTCTGAGCAAATTTTGAAGTTTATTTTGTTAAGGAGCAAGAAGAATCACGCGAAATGTGTTTTCCAATGTTATTTTCTCATGTTTCTCCGAGCACTTGCATAGGGATTTGGTACAAAAATCAATGACTTCAAAATAATTTATCTTTCTTCTTAAATAAACAACATTTTAACATGTACATATTTTATATACCTAAGTCATCAAAATCGTTAAAAAACTGCACCATTATTTTACTCTTAAAATATGTTTTGTAATTATAAAACTAAACTTTCAACAGTAAATATGTTTAATTTTTAGTAAAATAAACGTTTTGTACACTATATTAAAAAAAAGTCACACCTAAAATGTAAAAGGGAGGTATTTGGTAACATTAATAGCAGGTGCTCACAAATATATAACAATCATATTATAGTGGACTGTAAGATTCTGCCGTGTAACTTTTAACTCGCGAAAACCATAAAGGTGGGAATCGGTTTCCAATTACATCAAAGTGACAAGTATTCTCCATTCCATTCTTATAGCGTGTATACACAGAGTATCCGGTCCATGCAAGGCGAATGTGCCTCTGTTTCTTATAATCTTGAATTTGCATCTCCTAAAAAATAAAATATACATAAAGCAGCGAACTTTTTAAGTACAGCATATCATTAAAATGAAGAATTGTTGCTTTATGTTACTTTGAGGTATCCATTTGGTTTTTTTACATTCAAACTTTTTTACTTGAAAAATGTTCAGAGGTGTGGTGTTTTATAAAGTTGTAACTTCATACCAAATGGAATGTTTCTTGATGGTTGTCCTGAATAACATCCCGTTTCTTATGACGCCTGTATCCAAAATTACTCTTCGTTTTCTCATTACGATACACAATAATAGTTACTTTATCATCTTTAAGCCTGTAGTGACCAGACAAAATAGTTGGATTCTTGTACGCTCTGTGCTTTAACTGCCCTACACATGTTGGGGGTTCATCGGGAGAGGTTAACATTAGAACCATACCATCAGGAAAAAATCTGAAAACAAAATAAGCGAGGTGCTGCACAATTAGTGATCAGATACCGTAAATAACGATAATAAGCAACGATATGCCAAGGCCGATAAAATTGATCCTGAAAGCTGTTTTCCCCTGATCGAATGTAGGTAGTTTTGCCAATATAACAGCCATTAAACGACAGTTTGGCTGAGTCAATAAACATTTGTCTCCATGATACACAATTTCTAGGCAAGGAGACATTAATACCCCATATCCTAGAGCCAAAAGGTCGATTACAAGTTCATTTGAAATTTCTACTGAACCTTGCACAAGCCAAGCGCCATATTTCCGAATCTCGACAACACAAATAAAAACCACAGCATACGAAGGAACACATCTCCAAGGATCGCATATCTATGTCACTAGATACAACCCAACGAAAAATGTACAACAAAATTTCCAGAGGCAAAGCAGAAATATGGGCGACCTAAAGGTAAATGAGTAAGAAACTAAATATTTCTATTGAATTACCTTTTGCTCATTTGCAGGTGTGCAAAAAGATGCACTTTTCAGCATTTTACGTTGAATGTGATTATACAGGTCCTTGATCTCCTTCTCATCATTACCACTACTACTATGGTCTTCATACACTTCAGTACGAACAGCATCTTAAATCACACAATTTTAGTATTTTACTTACCCAAATGGTAAATACTTTTAACCGTTTCTTCAGATTCTGATTTCTTAGAAACCTTTTTGGTTCGCGTATGAAGTCGAAATTCAATATCGGGCACCAGCTGTACAGCGCGCCTATAAAATTGAATGGCTTCATATAATTGACCAGATCGTTCCATTTCAACACCGTTTAGAAATAGCCGCTTTGCCTACAATATGTTTTGGTTAGTAGGCTGTGGGTCATCGTAGACAAGTTGTACCACAATTTCAGTATCTTCTTCTGCCTGAGAGGACTCCTTTGTCTTTTTATACTCGTGATTCTTGTACATCTCGAGTTCCTTCTTCCATGTATGTCTAAAATTCTCCAGCTCATCTTCCACTGACTGGAACGTCAATTATTAGGATTAGTAAATTAGCTACTTGAAGCATCTTTAATTTTAAAATCAACAGAATTTTACAACTTACATAAAGCAATCTTCGATGTATTGCAACAATTGGAGGAAAAAAGTTCTCAAATTATTACACGATATCCAGATTTTTTTTATATAATATATAAAACATACCATAAACATTTTAAATGGTAACCCTCCATGTGTTAAACATTTTTTGAAAACTCTTTGAAATCCGGTTTCCAATTATGGAGTATTATGTTGAAAACTAGTCAAAAGTGTTTTTAAAAAAGGGAATTAAATTGTGCGGTTTTTTGAGATGAGGGCGCTAATATGTTGCCTCCGTGTAAAAGGTAATTCAACATATACAGGGTCTTTCAACAGTGCGTCAGTCTTTCCTAGCTCATACTTACCTGGTAAAAGATATAAAAAAACCTTTTATGCAAAGGTCAACTATAGATTATTGCACATCTACAAAAATTATTATTATTGATTCGATGTCAGTTTTTAACTTCTTAACTTTAAAATCAAGGTTGCTACAATTTATCCAAGTGGGGCTGCTTATAGAGAATTATTCGGAAAAATTAATAATTTGGTAACATTGACAAAAAACCAAATAGTGAATAGGTTTCCATGTAGAGGTTAAAAATACCGCAAAGTTAGTGAGAAAACTTGCTAAATTGTTAATGGAACGCCCTGTATATTTTTCGAAATGTCAATAGATCTATTCTTTCCGATTTTAAAAATTTATAATGTGTATGGTGGTTTAGTACTTATCGTATAATTAGGTACAATTAGCTTGACAATTAGGAAACAATTTATAACTACTCACAAATAACTAATTTAACATTACAAGAAAATTTAATAAATTAATTGTTTGCAAACAAAGAACAAACTAATTAGAAACGAGTATGGCTTCATGGCGGGTCTGGTAATCATCAACTTCTTGCAGTGGTATGATGGTATATCACTATGAGTTCGTATCGTCGTCACAATTTTCTCACTATGGGGAGCTCAGCGTCGTCGGTTGCTTCATTATAGGACAGCTCGGCTTTGTCGTTGTAATCCCTAACTATAGAACAGCTCGGCGTGGTTGTCATCTTGTCTCACTATAGAACAACTCGCCTATCTCGGCTTAATCCTACTGCTTAGGTACTATAGGCCAGCTCGCAGCAGAATCAAATCTAACGCATGCACGAAACCTTATAAAGCCCCGAATGATAGTGGGGATAATTGTTTCGCATTGCGTAAGGGAAAACGCTGTGTTGATTTTAATGATAATTGTGGTGTGATGCCTATCAGCTACCATATGTACCACCACATGTTGAAATTATTTGCATCTTCCTTCGAAATAACATAGATCAACTTTACTTTTTAATATTTATTTTAATAAACAAAATGTAACCAACATTTACAAAAGTTGGATAATGCCGGCTCGTGTGGTGTTAAAGCTGAACTGTGGTGCCAAGGGTGCAACTTTTGTATTTCAAGTTTTTTTTAATAGTAAACGCGCTCTATAAATACACTAAATATTTTGATCAACCCTGTATAATTAAAAATATTACTGCCTAGTAGAACCTAAAAACTTTTGTTTACACTTTTTTTGATATCTTGTATATTTTCCCCGATAATCTACCGTTTCCAGACTTATTCGCGATTATTTTTCATATTTATTTAAAAAAAAATTTATTTTTAGAACCTCATGGCCTAGATTCAGCAAAACGCTGCTCTTCCATCTACATGACAAAACAAAGAATATTTGTACAGAGTAAAACAACGAACGAATAGTGAAATGATGAATGAACAGATTGAAAGATAAAAGATAATACGAACAGGAATAATCAACAGCAACACGAAATCAAATTAAAGAGTGAAATAACAGGCCAAACAATTTGTTAAATATGTTATTCTCAATAGTCGACAACGGGCGGTGTCCGAAATTTATACCCATAATGCGTTGTGAGCACCGCAGTTTACCCAGGATGCGATAAGTGTAAATGTTTCCGATGAACTGGTAAAAAAAATGAACCAAAACGTGTTGTGGGTATATTTATGCACCTACAACCCGAAACTAGTACTCATATGCTCTTGTTTCCACATTGTGGGGGTTTCATTGGTTTGATCACTTCGCATTGCTTGTACGAATTAGCCATAACAGAAATAATATCACTTACTTAATAACATTTATTACGCAACGCAACATGGGCAAACGAAAATACCCACATTTGACTTCGAATTATGGGTTAATAAAGATGTCTAGAATGCGTTTTGGTCTATGCTTACAGCATAGAAGAAATTGCAGAGTTTAAAAACCGAACAGAAGCGTCTGTATTAAATCAAATGTTAAATGTACAGTAAAAGGTCAAATGTTTCAAAAAGGGTAAACCTCAATGTATATATATTATAATTATTTAGGGACACAGAAAATTGCCATTGTCTTTACCTGTGCCAATAAAGATGAATCTTCCTCATCCTCAGAAGTAGAAGACTCCACACCATCACCATCATAAGATTCTTGACCAACAGATCCCTGATTTGAAATAAATCCTAATAAGGAAGTAAATAACTTTTAAGCATACCATTTCTCCTAGAGATACTGTGGATGATTATTAAGAAATAAGCTCACGATCAGTGTATCGTATAATTATTTTTCCGAAAGATTGTTTTTCGGAAAATTTAATGTCCATGTTTTGGAAACTGCTTTGGTAATACCAACACAACCAACAAAACAAAACATTAATTTGACAGAACACGATTTCTAACAGTTGGTAGTATTCTATAGGGTGCGTGAGTATTCTCGGTTTGTGGAGAAATAAAAAATTACTAATTTCTTTTTTCTGTTTTTATATATACCCGAACATTACTATCTCGCATGAAAATTTCGGATTAGTCAGTTTCCAGTAAGAAGTAGTTTGAGGGATGGACTATTGTGGCTCCCACAATAGTTGCTTTTCCAATTTGAAAGTTCACTAAAAAAATGGTGGCAATGGTTCAGTTTAAAAGTACCATTATAAGTAATTTTGGAGAATAATCCGAAAATTATAAACAATTCAAAGAATCGAGACCTCTGTAATTAAAAGAATTAGCAGAGTTTGAAGCATATGTAGACAAAAATCCACCAAAATGCACTTTCTGAGTCCATTTTGTGATGTATTTCCCAAATGCCATTTGGATCCCCTTTTTTTTTAAAGAAATATCTACTATTTTGACCCCTTCTACAAATTTACATTTTACGCCCCATACAGTTTCGTAAGATACATGAACGCGGAGAGGTTGACAGTTTTATACCAATTTACATTTGGAAATGTGGGAAAAAAATGGAAATACCAACTTTTCAAATTCTTTATTTTCAATGGCCAAGACGTAACTTAAGAAAAACCCAGCCATAATGTTAACAAATAATTGATTACATAAACAACCCATAGATAAATGTTTCTTTGAATAACAATGAAAAACTAAGAACTACATTTCTGTTAAAAAAGAATGACCAAATGGGTATCTTGGAATATTAAGAGTGCTGGGCTGGGATTCTTTAGTCCATAAAAGTGAAGCCCAAAGTACTTAATTGGAATAAAAAATTTATTGAAGAATCTAACTATCAAATCAAAATTAAATACATAATTTATAATAATAAAGTTTACTTCTTCTGCTGTTTCTCGTCTTTATCTTCCTTCTTTTTATCTTTGAGATTACCAACAGCCTGGCGGATAGCTTCAGATTGTGGATCAACTCCAGGTAAATTTTCTAATACACTTTGCAAAAAAGCAGGATCATTCATCACCTCTGAATAATCTTCATCACCGTCCACTTCCATTGGCTCATCCTTTTTCTTGGAAGAGCTAGATTCCTCTGCAAAGTAACAATACACTACCTACAATCAGTCTCAATTTGATACACTTACGAGCATCTTGCATTGACATTTGCATAGCAAATGCAATTTGTTCTTCTTCAGTCATGTTAGCAAAATCGACCGGTGGAGCGTCAGTAGGAGCTGCCTCTCCTTCTTCCATTGACATTGCTAATGCTCTCTCTAGCAAGGCCTCTTCATTAGGTTCCTCTCTAATTGGAGTTGCTTTAACACCGCCATCTGCAGACAAAGTTTCCTTAGCTCTTCTAGCTTCGTCTTCTTGACGTTGACGTTGTTCTTCCATTGAAACGCGCAGTGCCTAAAATCATTCTACTTCATCTTGACTTGTAATCTGGCAAAGTTACCAAAGCTAACTCAGGGTCTTCATTAGGATCAATTCCGAATTCGAAGGCAGAAGCACCCAAACCGGCACCTCCAGTACCATCCTCCCCTTGAATAATGGGAGATGAAATGAGAGCATCTGATAAATGAGGACCTGGGGGAACTGTAACTAAATGACTACTGGTACCATCCTGCAAAGCACTGTTATGGAATCGACACCTGCGAAATGAAATACAAAACATACCTTTCCGTTTAAAGTATTGATAAAGGTAGTTAGAACTTCCGTATTCGCTGTATCTTCCCCAAAGCTAATTACGTCGACATTTACCTTCTCTTTTTTTAACTTTTTAGCTAATTTTACCAATTCCTTTTCTTCCGCAACAACAGGGCTACCGACAAAAACAACAATGCGCATTTTATGATTTTTACCTTGACGATGTTTTAAAGCTAACTGCAACAACACAAAAATGGTGAAGAAAGGCACCTAAAAGCTGTTTTCATACTTACATGAGCAATTCTGATGCCGGTGTGGAGGTTAATATTCCCTTCGGGCAACACGGCATGCAATTTAGATAAAATACGTCCCACATCACTTGTTAAGGTCGCCAAGACTTCAACGCTGCAATGAGTGCAATCAGTATCACAAAATAGTCAAATGAAATCGTACTTAGCCAGTGTAAGTAAGCCGACATTGTTTTCTGGATTCGAACGAGTTTTAGAATGGCAAACAACATTCACTGCATCTTGCTGGGCTTGTAGACGTGTTGGCAAGAAGTCTCCATTTCGCATGTAATCGCTATTATCAACACTACAACAACAAAGGAACAAAAATGTTGCAATGTCATGGTAAAATAAGGTTATTGGTTATTAAGATGTGTTGTTGCTTTTACTTACCATATCATGGTACTTTCAAGCACCATTTTTATGCTTATTATTCGGCTTTAATTTAATATTCAAAAAAAGAAGATTAAAAATGTTAGTTCTTGGTGCTATGCTATGACTTGGGATTATAATGGATGTGTCTACTCACGGCAGGTGTGGAAAAATGAAAAAAATATTAGTATTAGCCACAGCCACCCATACCCACGAGCTTAAAGTACGGAGTACCTCCAAGTCCTACGACTAATATGAGTAATATGTAGGTTTGTGGTCCTGGTTTTAAAACCGCCACAATTATGCGCAGTAGATATGATTCCAACAGATTCTTTCGATGCACTACTAGTTGGAATAACTTTTTCCTACATAAATGCAAACAGTTGGCTTACAGTTTGCAAATCGTCGAACCGATTTTAGAATTTATTTGTAAATAGGATAGATGACATTAGAAAAAGAATAAATAATGTATTATGTATAGTATAAACTCGGCAGACTAATAATTTATTTCTATAGTTTGTGATAATCCACCTTTATGGTTAGTCAACACACCTTTACATCTGAAGCAAAAATATGATATGCCCTGTATATAACCAATCGACCGTTTTGCGCAGATGCCGAATACTAAGGGATTTTGGTAACAAAGCTAGGGGAGAATGAAGAAGATGGCGACGGGGGTCGACGGAAGGCAGCCCGGTTTTTATTCTTGATTATTTTGGTTGTGGTGTTTTGAAGGTGTATTTACAGGTAGTAACCATTTTATTCTTTCTTATACTAACTATTAATCATTGAATTTCTTGTCACAATATGATGTTATTTACATTTCACTGATGTGGAGTAGTTACCTAATACAGTTCGATCTTTCGTTGTATCTGTTGCCTACTCGTCTCGTGCGGATTGCAGTTCTTAGCATCTTAGCAATGCGGGACATTTAGGGGCCCTCTCATTAACATTTCCTCTATTTAAAATATGTTCTGCTTGAGCGATAATCGATTTTCACATGAATATTTGCTATTGGCATTCTCACATGTACTTTTCGTGTTAAATAAAATTATGTTAATGAAGGCTGGAGTAGAGCCACACCATTTTAATGCTTCCTATGTACATTTATTATTTTACGAGTTGTGTTAGCTCAATTGATCGTACAGGTATTTTGATCTGTTTTTGTACTGAATTAATTTATCATGTTTTCTACAACATTTATGATGTTTGGTGGATTTTGTTTTTATGAATTTGTTTAATTGTATTTAATTTGATTATCTGATTTTTATCGTACAACTTGAGATGTTTTATTTATGTGTATTTTCTCTTGCATTTTATTGCTGTAGGTGATTTATTTCATGTATTTGTGTGGGCTATGCCGGGGTTTTTGTCCCGTAGAAGGTTTCCCTGGTATGGTCTTTGTTGTGTGCGTAATATATTTATTTGTTCTTGTCATTTCTTACGCAGAAAAGTTCTGTCTTTTATTTAATTCCCTTCCCGATTATGTCTCACGTCCCAACACATACAAGCACCGATTACACAATGTAGGAGTTCATTCGTGTTACTCATATCGAACCTACTGCCATCCAAATTCAAAAGTGCCGCGAAACGTCCATCGTTTCGACTTGAAAGGTAGGTGGCTCCGCTTGTAGATTTTTTTTCCAGAGTTGTCAACGGTAAGTATAGGGTAAGTCAACGTTTTCAGTGTCGGCTTGATAGACCCCTAGGAACACTACAAGTTATCGATTTCGGGGGGTTATTAAGAGCTATTGTTCTACTGAAGGAATTTTTTCTGCGTTTATTGCTAAAAAAGTTATTGTAAAAAAACCAACAAACCGTTTTTTACATGTTTTTTTGTATTGCTGTCTGTCGTTTGTCCGTCTGTTCCTTTGTCTGTATGTCCCTCTATCTGTCCATGTGAACGATAACTTCATTTAGAAATGTCCGATCGCTTTTAAATCTCCGTTAGTTATGAACTGAATTGCATGAAATTCAATGTGGGTATAGCTTTTGCAAACTTTTTTATTTATAAAAGTATTTAAATGAAATTTGATACAAAGCCACATTGGAACAAAGGAAAATCTAACGTTAGTTTCAAAATTAAGGTTTGCGGATGCGCAGTGCCAACTTTCTTATTTACGAAAGCATTGAAATGAAATTCTTCTTATAAACTGAAATTGAAGTAAGTAGCACGTCAAAAATGGATTGCACCTATGCAACGCTCTCTTTCATATTTGTGGCCGGATTTTTACGATTTTAACAGAAGTTGCATCTTTCAAATGGGAAATGATTGCAAGTGGAAATGCGCTTTTTGTAAATCGTTTACAATTACCTTTTTTAACTTTAGTTTTTTAAACCAGATAAGACTGTAAAGTGGATATAAGTACGAAATCTCCGACAGCAGTAAATCTGCCAAAAATTGATGTAATGATGTTGGGAATATTTCTCGCATCAAACAAAGATTTTTGCTCATCAGAATTTAGAAATACTACAACTGCCATATAAGTTTTGTAGGTTTTTGAGGTTACGCTCAGATTTTTTACAAGAAATGTAGTTATTTAAGAGGAATGTGTACTTAAGATGCTTTGTCTTTAGGTCAACGAATGTATCATCATATGGAGATGATTCAGTAAGCTATGTCGACCTTAAGAGTGTTCTGTAAGCGCAACTTTTTCGCGCATTTTTGGAAAAAATACACCATTATATTCGTTATGGCTGGCAATTTGAGTTTTTATGGTGGACGCTCTTATGGAAATTTATATTGGGTGCAGTCGTACAGAAGACTCAAGGGTGATGACAACTTATGTACAGTCAAGTCAAAATTTGCCCGGAACATAAGGTTCACGCAAAGTGGTCCTCAAAATAAAGTATTGTGTTTGTTGAATACGCTAGGTCTCGACTCGACATGCCAGTTGTAGCCACTTTTCCGTATGGCTTCTTTTTTGGGTACGGATATACCTAAACAATATTTATTTGGTGTCTTATTTAATGTAGGTACTTCCACATTGTGACATTGCGCACCACTTATAATAGTAGTAGTACCTATAGTAATAGTAGTAGTAGTACTAGTAGTGTACGAGACTTCATAGTAGCGAAATGCAGCCAATACTTCGGATTTCAAGTGATGGTCCAGCAGAACTATGAAAAATTTCCCAGGAAAATAATACGCACGAATTATTTTCTTTGCCCTACCATCAAGCTTCTTTTACAACCCCTCAGAGGGTGGTGGTCAGTCCCTGGAGCTTTCCACAACCCGGGGTACTGGTGTCGATAAAGTCTCCTTTATCACGTTTAACAATCATGATGGAGTCCGATTATTCGAAACTCTCTCTCTATCTCTATTCGCAGGGGAGCCCGACCGGGCAGCACTTAGGCACACCAGAGGCCCATTGTGCCTAGCCCTTTTCTTCGCAACTGAGTTCAGAGCTCGTTCCTCTCAATGAAGGATAGGACCCTGTTTAGCCTAAGTTGCTTCACACTCCTCTGTTCCAGGTATCTGTCTCCAAAGAGTTGATATCTGTCCCTAATCAAAGCGTCATAGTGACAGACCACTCTACTCCTGTATGGGCAAATGGCTGAATCGGAATCGGAAGTTGTCCAAACTGTCGTCTACCGCACGCCTCAGGAGTTAACGTAGGTACGTAAAAAATTTGCTACTCATGTCAATATAGTGCCCGTGCTTAAAAGACTTGATTATACTCGTAGGTACACTTGTCTCTTAATATACTATTTATCAAAAGGCCAATACGTAGGTGGTCCAATGGATATTGCAGTGATACTTTCAAGTTCTCTACCTTTATTATCTGTGAATCCTAATGTCTGCATTCCAGTCACCAACGGAGATAAATTTGTTTAATCTTCATCTTCGAAGTCTTATAAATGTCCTTGTTGTTGCAGGTATTACTTATTAGCATTGAATTTAATGGTATTAGGTCTAGAAAAAACATATCCAGCGGCAGCGTATATTCGTGCGTTGTTTGACGTTCCAAATATTTGTTACTACATGCCCAAGAGCTTCTATTCTTTTCTTTATTTTCTCAACAATAGTTGAGTAATGTACGATTTTTAATACTATATTAAAGCTTCTGTCATTATTAGGCTTGGTAGGTGTGGTATTGAATGTTTATGCTGTTGCTGTATGTCTGACCGTCTTCCGATTCAATTTTAGCTTGTTTTCTGCTTTGTAGTGATATTTTTCTTTGGATACTATATCAAGTTCGATGATTAGATTCTACTTACCCACCAATAAAAATTGAAGGTGGCTTGCCGCTTATATTAAGTACCTATAATAGAAAAGAAATTAAAAAAATATACAAAAAGGAGGCCACAGTCACCTCTACGAGTGTCAAATCAAGTCAGTATATTTAAACAGTAAGTGTTGTGTATTAACGTATGAATTGGTTTCTCCAGAAGCATCGGACCTCCCGATAAACCCTCGTTTTGTACTTGTATATATGTAACACGGTTGACTAAATGTAATGTGAGAAGTAAAATTACATTTTTTCAATTATCATTACAATATGACCATGTATGTGGTAGCTGTGTTAGAAATTTGTGGCAAATCAAATATAACACCAATATAGCGTGTATTAGGGAGCGTATATTCTTTCTGTAACGTACAAAAATTAAAATAAATCCGGACTTTTACAAATTTGAGGTGGATGCACGTAGAAATCTGCATCCATACAATATTATTTACTTAGTACGTACAGTGATGGCGGTAAAGTTCATTTTCGCAGCTATAATTATTTAAATTGAGGAAATTTCTTAGATGAATTATGAATTATTCATATAAGTACCCTATTTTGTAGAGGTCTTATAAGACTGCTTTTGATTTATTGCCATGCTTCACCGTATAGGTCAATTTTATAACAATCATGTGGGTTGGGTTTTAATCTATTTTTTATTTCAAGTTGTTTACTAGACGAGAAAGTCCACAAACGTTAGGTTTTCGATTTAACTTTGAAATCCAAATTAATTTTGTATCGTTACTGTGTACGCCGTACGGGAATGCAAATCAGAGGGTTGCGAATCACCCACTTAGACCTGTCACTGCCACACGTAACCATATTCCTTCGACCGACATACTTTAGAAATTATAGATATACCTAATTTGCTTCTTCATGTTATTCCAGAAAAATTGTTTAATGTTGAAATCGAAACATTTTTTCAAATTCTCCAAGTATCATATTGTTGTTA